TCTCCTCGGCCGTCATCTTTGGCGACCCAATGAACGGCAAACCCGTCGGAAACGTTGCTGCTGCGAAGACGAAGGTGATCTGCCACACGGGCGATAACATTTGCCAGGGAGGAGACTTAGTGCTGCAGCCGCATTTAACATACTCGATGAACGCTGGCGAAGCAGCCAAATTCGTCGCTAGTGCTGCGGCCTAGACATACGGATACGTGATGGTATTGTGAATGATGGCGGCAAGCTCTGCGTTCTTGCGTTCTTGCGTTCTAACGTTCTGTTTCCTTCTTCTTATGATGTACTTGTACGGTATGCGTCTTGTTGGAGCGTTCTGCGACTGCTTGTATATAGTTCTTCCTTTGCGTAACGCCATTATTTCCAATCTTAGCTTTTCAGCCATTGCTCGTTTCCAAGACATATCAGGGTCTCGATGCTTACGCAGCAATCCAGGAGTCATCTCGCTCGTGCTGATGCTCTGTTCGGCATTCGGCATTCGGCTACGGCATCCTCAGCCTCCACAATTCATCCCGCCCCGGTCTTCGCAGCATCATCATCTTAATCAGAACCCCAAAAGGGCGTACTCACTGCATGAACATAGCTAGGAGAAGGGCTGAGTGCGATGAAGAGGGAAGCGTTGCATGCATGACTCACTCGTGGAAGCTAAGTAATCGTCGCTAAGACCGGATCAGGAAGGCCAACAGCCGAGATGGCTACCCGTCCACTCATCGTAGACGCGATTGACGGAGTGCTCATAAATACCATCACGCTCTTCGACGTCAAAATGGCGTCCATCTCATGCGCTTTCGAACACTCTCTTCTTCTCTACCTATTATCCACAACAGCCCTCGAAGCTTCGTTTTCCTACTTCCTACTTCGTGAAAGATGGGGTTCAAAGTTGAATACTGTGAAGAGAAGGATTTCATGAGATTTGTGGTAATCCAAATCGCAGCGTTTAATTCCGGAATCGCGGCAGAACTATTCGAACGGCCATTGACCGAGGAGCTCAAGAGGAAGCAAGCGGACAAGCACATCAAGTCTCAGTGGGAAGAGAAGGATTGGTGAGAGTGCCAATCTCGGCTCTCCAGCGCCACCCAAAGCTTGCAAATGCTAACTATCGTAGTCATTTTCTCAAACTTATAGACGACGAACTGGAGGGAGAAGAGAGCATCATCGCGGTCGCGAAGTGGAGAATCAACGAGAAAGAGAGGACAGAAGAGCAGATCCAGATCCAATTACCGAACCCCAAAGATGGAGAGAACGAAGCGAGCAGAGACTTTTTCGAATACCTGAGAAGTACGAGGCTAGAGTTCATGGGGACAAAGCCTTTTTGCTGTGCGTCGGTCTCCCCGCTCTCACACAATCGCACTGACGAGCGATACAGTTCTTCACATCTTAGCCACAGATCCAAAACACCAAGGTCGCGGCGCCGGTTCTTTGTTGCTACAATGGGGCACACAACGCGCCGATAAAGCTCAACTCCCGTCGTATTTAGAGTCCACTGAGGCAGGGAGACGAACATACCTCAAAGCCGGGTTCAAGCAAGTCAAAAGGACTGAATTTCAGATGAGCAAGTACGGTAGAGAAGGCGTTGATGCAAACACCTCCATGTTACGGACTCCTGTAGGCTAGAAATCACTCACTCCGTACAATGGAACCAGGAGGGCTTCAGCAACCTCATTGAGCCCCCTAGTTGACGCTTCTCCGTCACTGAACCGCTCTCACATGACGTAGCACTTTGAGATAACCTGCTCACTCACCTGCACGCACGCACCATGCTAGAATCTTCCACGCGCGCGCGCGCCGAGCCTCTCGGCGTGGGCCCGAGCGCTGAGGTGAGTTTATAAGCTCGACCGCACGTTTCTCTCTCTCTTCTTCTTCCCTCACCACCGCCCGCCAACTTCACTAAAATTGCGGAGAAGTGTTTGTTATGCACCAAAAACTTGTTTGCGCATCAGTCATGCGCGAAGCGCCATACTGCCAGGTGGTATGCATGTCCTACACCTCGACTCGTCTTTGAAAACATACACTGACATATTCAGGCGGCTCGCCACCAAACGAGCCTCCCTGCACCTGCGTGACCTTAGCGCATGCTGCCATGGATGCTTACAAGTAAGTGTGTTTTCAAAGCTGCTCGCATGTTGCCCATGCTAACCTGATAGATCGTTGCGGAGATGTGTTTATTAGTCAGTCACGTCTGCGCCATGGCCTGGGAGCGGCAGCGATACCCGATGGCCCAGCAACCACATGGCCGTGCTGCCGCTCCCGGGCCCAACAACCACAGATGTACCCAGTGGGCCAGTATGAAACCCCTCCATTTCCGCTTTGAAGCATGAACTGACGCACGACTAGTCGCGGAGATGTGTTTTTCACCGACCTCTACGTCGTCTATGGTGGTGGTGGTGCGCGGCCTGGGACACGACCAACAGATCTTCCATTACCATCACACGACGAGACGTTCTGCTGCGCACCACCACCAGGGCTACGGCCTAGGACATGACCAACAGATCTTCCACTACCATCACCCGCATCATCGTCCTCTTACGGCCTGGGACACGACCAACAGATCTTCCACTACCATCACCCGCATCATCGTCCTCTTAGAGCAGAAAATACACATGTTCTCCCTCATCAAGTCTTTTGAAACTGTTCCTCGTGATGCATGTTCGTGATCCTCTTGTATGCCTTGTGTGAAAAGCACTTCAACCATCCACAATAGCTCAAATACGGACCCGCGTGTGCCGTCGACGCACTCCTGCCTCTCCTTTGCGATACCCATCTGACTATCAAAACTGCGAAGCTCATGGACAAATGAGGCGCGTGTCCGAAATAGCCGCTGTCTTCTGAAACATGCGCGTTCGCGCCGAACCACCGGTGCTCCAATGCTTAAATATGCACCACTATGCTGAAGTAATGTTTTGAAGTTGTGAAACTATGTTACAAGCATTTCGGAACATTCGTCAGTCTTTTGATTGATGTCTACTCAGTGTGCATGTCCGCTTGCCATCATCTGTTCCGAGAGCGCTCGTACATGACTGCCGCTGCCACGACCTTTTGACACTCGAGAGCTATGATACCTGCCATTCTCACACCAAGAGCAGTTCAATGTCCAACAAGTACTCAGCCATAACGCGTCCTCAGTTACCGAGGTCCTCCTGCCATCCTGCCATAGAGATTGTGATACAATGGTGATAGCTTGGAGGCGTTACTACCGATTGAATGGCTCAGCGGCGACCACTCGGGACAGCAGCACATCAGATGTCAATGATGAGTGAATAGATCGTCTGGAACGCTGGATAGGCCAGCTAGTTCATCGTCAGCCACGTTCCGTCAACCGGCGTGGAAGGTGCGACACATACCCATCGTGAGACATGCCGCTGGAGCCAGAGGCGATGGACTCAGTGAAGGACTTCTGCTTCTCTTCACCGAAGGAGGAGTTGTGACGCGCAAATCGATCGTCAAATTTGGGACGGCGAGCAGGCCTGGTGCAAGAGGACTGTCGGAGGGCGGCGTGAAGGAGGGGAGGAGCTATCGAGCTCCAAGAGCTACCTTGAAGATCTCTTAGTATCCACCGCGTCAAGATGTAGAGCTAGAGTGTACTCACCACATTGTTTCCCTGCATCACGGAACCTCGCGCCTTCCCCAAACTTCTTGTCCCACTTCATTGCTGGCCCAGCCTCGCAGTGCCAACGCACTGTTAGTCTTGACAGAGACTGAATCCTCTGTCCCCGCTCGACGCTGAGCAATATGCTCTGCTAGGTCCTTCTCTTTCTGCGTCTGCGCCAATCTTGCTGCTGCTGAAAAATCTGGCGAGAGGGTCAGTAGAGCGGGTGACATGGTGGCACTTGACTCACTTCAGGCAGCATGCGCCCTTCAGGTGGAGGACACCCTTCCCCGGGCAATGACCGAGTAAAAGAAAATAAAAAGGCTTTTGAAAGATTTGAGATGTGAGTAAAGAGAAAGAGAAGAAGAATAGATTCGACCGTCGAAGATATACCCATAGCCAAGAGCGCGAGAGATAAGGCGTGACCAGCAGGTGCGAAGGAGGAAGTCGCGGCCCAGCTGCCCGCCGATGACGGAGCATGACGGAGCACGACTGTGGCGAAGATGGGCCGGACGGCAATGGAATCAGCTCAGTCCACAGTTCTCGTGCCGGATAGAGCGTCTGTATTGCTGAAATGCGGCGTCATCGATCACCGTTGTTCCCTTGTTCTCCCTCTCGGCTTCACCTTTGGATGCGCTCTATCTGCGTGCTGCCAATGCTCTACAGCATGCACATCAAGATTTCTTCTTTCGAGATTCAGACCATTCTTGGCCCCTTGCGAAGCTCAAGATGTGGAAAGCGATAAACGAGCACTTCACTGCATGCGATGCCCTCTAATGTCCGGTTCCCGATGTGTGCCCGCCTTCTCATGCTCAAACCCACCCAAAGCTTGTGATGATAGAGTAGAAGGACAGGAAGGCTCGTCGGGCATCATGAAGACGCGTAAACTCAACATAGACGTTGCGCTGGCTAGGCTGAGTCACAAAACTGTGCTTCGCACATCGTGCGCAAGTGATGCCGCCCCCGAAGAGTCCAGGTGAGGACAGAATAGAGATGAAAAAGCAGAGTATGGCGATGTAATGAATCGACGAGGGTGGGGAAACTGCATGATAAGTGGTGTCACCCGTCAATAGCCTGCATTCGTACCTGTATTTGCGTGACTTGTACGACTTGTGTGAAAGCTTGTGTAGCAGAACTGTAGTACAAGACAGATCTGTGTGTTGCCCATCTTCGTAAGCATCCTTTCATTCGCGTGACCCCATGCACTGGAATCTGTTCACGGTCAGAAGGGTTCTGGTGTGAGCATCGAGCGTACCTTCCCCAGTATCGAGCACCTACCTCCTGCGAGCGGAGCCAACGGAAGCGAGACTTGCTCCCTTGTCCAGCCTCGATAGTTTCCTTCATCTCATACGACTTTGGACGGTTATATTCGGTTTCAAAATCTGCATCTCTGGTATCTTTTTGGATAGGGATTATGGTGTAGTGGTTTAGCACACAGAAGTGGCATTAGACCGTCACGACTGAGGCTGAGGTTCGATTCCTTGCGATTCCAATTTTTTTTGGTCCTTGTGCTTCATGGAGAGAGAAGTGTCAAAAGACTGGGGATTGCGTTGTATGAGCGGAGGAGAGACGAATGTTGGACCTTTCATTTTTCTTTTGCAGGGTTTGCTAGCTGCCACTTGGAAGAACATCAGTCGGCATGCATGTTACGTCTATTGACTGTGAACATCGAGATTTAGAAATGAGTTAATGGAAAGCGTGCACTGCATGTGTTTGCGCTGCCGGCCAAGCCAACGTCGGCGCTCGCAGTTCCTTCGGGCCCAACCTTTCGAACTCTGTACGTGCCGTAACGTAATCCACCACTCAACCGCCCTTCTGCACTACCCTAGCAGCCTCTATAGCTAGTACCTGACCTTCCTGAGCTGTAAGATCCCCTCTAGTAGCAATATACTGTCGTCGCTGCTGCTGATTCTTCTGCTCATAACCGCCAATTTGCCTGACGTAGCTTAGTATTTTCCTCTACAAAGATCGTCGTTGAAAATATAGCTAACTAACATCCTTTAACAAGCTAAGGAATTGCCTAGCTAGTAGGACTCTAGAACTAGCGTAAGAGACGGTCGCGATTAAGTCGAGCCTGCTACTCTAGCTAAGTAATAGTATGAGGCGTCTCAGCTGTCCATTCAGCCTGATTATCAGCCATCCTAGGTAGAGATATCGTCCTGACGATAGAAAGATTTGTCAAAACGGGCTCTGGACGTATAGGATCAGTCCAGCTGCTTGAAATCCTAATCTAATGTTCTGCTCTGAGAATATTACTAGTTTCATACGTGGGTGAATAGCTAGAGACTCTAGCTTGTCAATATGGTAGATATGCTGGCGCGCGAGCTCAGCGATCTGTTGACGGTAGACGTTCTACAGAGGCGAGAAGCAGCCAACTTCAACCGGCTGTAGGAGGTGAGACGTATACGCAGGCATACAGAGACTGATAATCTTATTCTCTATGCAGTACTAGTCGGACTTTACCGTCGCATGACTACTATAGCCGTCTAGGATTAGTAGACGGTATGCTCCAGTCGTTTGAGGAATGGTATGTCTATTACAGTGCTGTAGCTAGGCACAGCCGGGTATTGAGATCCTAGATCTAAAGAACAAGTCTATGACTCAGGTACGCTAGTGTATAGGCTCGGGTTGGTTCTCGGAGAAGAGAGCAGGGTATCAAGGTATCAGACTTCACGATAGGGAGTATTGGGTTGCAATCTGTTCTGATCGTAAGGAAAAATATTAAGTTAAACACGAAGACCATAGGGGTCTTCGGAGAGATCGATATATATGAGCTTGGCTGGCCCAGCTAGCCAGTCACTGGCTGCTCGCTCGTGTGTTAGAACTCGGCAAGAGTTCCTCGTTCAAAGTTCTCGAGCGTAACAACAACAACACGCCTTCTATTTTAACTATAGATCGACTGCCCAACATGCTCAGCTTTACGCAACTTTTTAAGGTTAAGTTAAAATTCGATAACTTAATAGCCTACGTCTATTTAAGACGATGGATATTCCTCTGTGATCCCAAAACCTCCACCAGAACGACTATTTAATCAACCGATCGAGCGAGAAAGAAAGCAATAGAAATGCCAGGACAAGAACGAGATGTCTGGCTGCTCGCTTGACTCACAGCCGTCCCAAACCATGCGAGGTTGAGGATAAAGGAGCGGGTCCTCAACTTAAGGTCGTAATACCGAGCTCGTCAGTAGTTCAGCCGTTGTCGCTCAGCGCGATTACCCAGTCGGCATGTAGGTCGCGATACCAGCTAGCTTGCTGTAATTTTCCAGACAGGATTACTGTAGGTAGGATCTACCAGCAGACGTGTTGATATACATGGTCGTCGAGACCCAGTCGTGTTATGGGCCAGTTGAGGGTTATACGATTAAGCTTGCTAATCTAAGATATAGTATAAAAGTATCAAGGAGAAAATGTTCTCGTCCGAAGCTCTAGGGAAGAAAAAGGAGTTTAGAGCTCACACGTACACACTAGCCATCTGTACTTACGCTTCAGCTCTATGTACTTATCAGCCTCATAAAGCGTATCTACCATGTCCAGTTATCATCGCTGATCAAGCAAGTTACTTCCCTGGCGGTGCCTCAAGTACAAGTTACTCCTGCATCGGCAATGCAGCCTGAATGTAGTTACTGAGCAAGTCACAAGGGCCTATGTTGGACATCAAGCTGGCACACTTTACGAACGAAGCGCGAGAGACAAGACGAAGATGCTCAAAGTCGCTGAAGATGTTGGTGGTCTTCCAGATTGTGGATCTACGACCTTGTCATGAAGCGCAAAGGATTCCAGCTCGTTATCCACCTAGCTGTTGCCTGCTGCTGTGCATCATCGTCGCCAGTTTTTGCGCCGTCGGTGACTTCTTTTTCGTTCAAGTCTAACTTACATACCATGCGGACTAGCGTATCTATCTGCGAAGCTTCAAAAAGTTGCTGAAGTATGTCGGATGCTTTCATAGTCCTCCACTCCCCAATCAAGACAATTTCGCCCCAATTTGCGCCAGCCTCTAACAACAACCTGACCCTTTCGAACCACGCAGTTTTCTCGGAATCTGAAGCCAGGAAACGTTTGTGGTACATGTGGAACAAGAAGATATGCCATGGTGTCTCGAGCTTGACCTGGTTCTGTCCACTATAATATCCGTACGGTGCAATTTCCTGGGCTAGTATGGGGATCTCGCCGTTCCACTCTTCCCAGAGGTTGTCATTGGGGCCTGTATCGAGCTTCAAGAGCTTTGTGATGACCGATTTGGTGGGCGTTTCCCCCTGAATGAGAACTGGAGCGGCGTATAATAGCCGAGCCAGGAGCAACGAGCGAAGTCCACTCGACAAGACGGTTTGGTCGTTCATGAATGTCGTGGATGGGTAGTGAATAACTCCAGCAGCTATGGCTTCCTTGAGGAATCCCAAGGAGAATTCGCCGACTTCCCAGACGTTGGATGTATCCTTGTTTGCAGATAAGCATGAGTTGAGACTCTCATAGAGCTCGTCAATAAGAGCAATAGGCGTCATTGCTGTGGCTTCCTCGATGAAGCGTATGTGGAACAGGAACGCTCGTAGCTCCTCGTTTATCCAGGGCATATAGTACCTTGCGCCCTCATTATTCGAAATCTTGACCACCCCTGTTGATCCTCTTACCGTGAGATGAAGGGAACCAGGATGGTCAACGTCAGGAATGCATCTCATCTCCCCAAGAATTGTACGGCATAACATCTCGTGGATGTCTGTGTCCGGCGGGAGATCTCGTTGCAATATGCTCTGCATTTCCCCGATAGCTAGGAAGTCCCGCACAGTACGGTGCAAGAAGTCCACTCTGGCTTGGGTACCCACACCGTAAATCTCCAGTAGACCCTGGCTACAGGCATTGATTCTGGACCGAGTCTCATCTAATCTGTCGTAAACACTTGTATCGCCCCATTCTGCGGCCCTTAAATAGACACCCGATGCCTTTTCTATATTTTGCTCGCCCAGGAAATCATACACAATCACGCTGTAAGGGCGAAGCGCTTGCAAAGCGGCTTGAAAGTAAATTGCGCTTTTTGATCGGTAGAAATCCTCGATACCAGAGTACATCTGGCGGAAGAATGGTTCGAGCTCCTGGGGAAAAGCTCGTAACCGTCTGTACAAGTCGTCGAAGGTATCCGCATTTGTCAGTCCTCGCAGTAAGGATTGCACAACAAGAAACACCCATAGGAAAACGCCGTTGGCTCGATCAACAATCTCCTTGATCAGGCCTCTTCTACGCGGATCTTGACGAGCAAGTTTCGCAAATCGAGAGCTTTTCCTTAGTGTGTCGCGAACATATTTTAAAATATCGCCCCTTGTGTGCTCTTCCAGGAAGATACGTGCCTCTTCCTTGTCGCCAAAAGCTTCTCTGAACACGTTCCATGGCCGACTTGAGACGCATACCTTGATGCTAGGGTGATGGAAAACGTGTTCGAGCATTTGCACGAACTGGTGATGGTTCCCCTCATACTCGTCAAGACCGTCAATGAAGATGCAGAATCGGAATCTTTTAATCGTCTGTTTTAGTAGGGTCTGAAACGACGCCATCAGCCGCTCTTTGTTCCAGCTGTCTGATACCATGCTGTGATCGTGAAGCGTGTCATGTTGGCTACTGGAGGAAGTGACTTGAGGTATCAGCTCGGGACAATGCCTCAGTATGTCGTACAATAGAGAACGTAAGAGGCCCTCTTGAGACTTTTGTAGTTGACTTCCCGCGTTCCAAAAGAAGTAGCGAGCTACCACGAGTTGGCGCGGTCGCGCCCATTGATTAAGAAGATCGAGCGTAACCCGATTATCGCAAAGATGTTTGAGTAGTGTTGACTTCCCAGATCCGGCCTTTCCTGCCACCCAGTAGACACCTTCTCCATGCTCAAACCATTGTAGGAGCGAGCTTTGTGGTGTATCTGCAACTGTCTCGAAGACCCATTCGAAAGTTTGTCGATGCGCAGTTGAAATTTCTGACCGGCGCATGTCTCTCTCTGTGAAATCAAGGCTTTTCAGTGCTTTCTGAGAGGATGACATTTCTAATCCCACAGCGGCCAGTGTCGAGAGCTTTTCCGCCACCAACGCCAGAAGCTTCGACTGTGCCTTTGCTTGCTGTTCCTTGCATAATCGAATCTGAGTCAGCAGGTCTTCCCTCAGTTTGAAGATACCTTCAGACCATTGCAGCTTCATGTTCGTGTTTTCGTGGTCAAGGTAGAGAATATGTTTATTCACTTCAGTAGTCTTGTTTCTGTAATGCCAAGGTCAGCCTAGAAACTGCACCTAGGGCGCATCACGCATTGACTTACCCTATGAGAGTCAAAAGGTAAGTGTTGAGGAGATCCTGTAGTCTCTTCATCCGGTCTACAAGCTGCTCGATCTCGTCCTTCTTACGCGTCGCACGGAAACTCTGACGGATACTGCTCCACAACTTATGTGTCTTATCAACCTTCAGGTCGCCCACAATGGCAATTAACTCTTCAGCACGAGAGCGGCATGATGTCAAGAGCCTCCGAAAC